GGCCCTCAGGGAGTAGCGTGTGAAGAGCAGGGACAGCATCTCGGAGATCGGCCGCAAAGGCGTCTCGTCGATCAGGATCACGAAGTTTGGGCGCGTCCAGTCGCCGTCTTAAGGGGGTCGCTTGTCATAGCTCTGCTGGAGGAGGTGGGCTTGTCCACCGAGATGTTCGCCCAGACCATGTGGTGGTCGTCCTTGATGGTGAAGACCATTGGTTCCTGCTCAATTCCAGCAGCGACGGACCTCCAGAGCCACCAGTCCGATGCCCATATGTGGTCGGAGCGTTTCGGGAAGAGGGAGTTGCCGAACCAGGTCGGCTCGGTGCAGTCGTGCCACTCTGCGACGTCGGTCAAGGCGAAGGTGATGATGACGATGCTGCTGCTGCTGCTGATGATGATGATTACGATTATGATGATGATGATGATGATGATGATGATGATGATGATGATGATGATGATGCTGATGATGATGATGCTGGTTGCGATGACAATGACGCTGCGATTGCTTATGGTGATACTTAGGATGATGATTATGATGATGTTGGTGATGATGACGATGATGCGGATGATGACGACGATGATGATTATTATGATGATGTTGATGACGACGGCGGTGATGATTATGATGGTGATGATGATGACGATGATGATGATGCTGATGCTGATAATGATGATGTTGCTGCTGCTGATGCTGATGATGCCCATGATAATGATGCTGCTGATGAGGATGATGGTGATGGTGATGATGTTGATGATGCTGCTGATGATGATACTGCGGACGATGACGATGACGATATATAGGATACCGATGATGATGACGATGCTGATTAGGATGAGGATGCTGATGGTGACGACGACGACGACTGTGACGATGATGCCGATGAGGATGATGCTGATCATGATGCTGCTGATGATGCTGATGATGATGATGATGGTGATGCTGATGATGATGATGATGATGATGATGATGATGATGATGATGATGATGACCAGCAGGAGGAGGAGGAGGAGGAGGAGGAGGGGGAGGAGAGCGGAAACTATGATGGGAAGTGGATGTGGAGCATGAGGAGCGGAACAAAACATGTGCGAGAGGAGGGAGAAGAGAGATGAAGATGACGCGGAGGAGGGCCGAAATGAATGTAGGATGCGTCAACCAGCCTGTGTGTAATACTCCTCCTCCCCACATGCACCTCCGCACGCGCCACCCACAATTCCCTTTTCCACTACGAGAGGCGCCTCTTGGAAAGACGAACGCCCCGTGGGCCTGTCATTCAAGCGAGGGCCCCGTTCGAACAACGCTCAGTTTGCACCCTTCTCTCGGAGTGTGGGCAATGCGGGACAGTGTGATCATAATGTCCAACGAGGTGTCCAGCGACAGCCCGACTTTGAAACGCAACCGCCTCCAGTCCGTGTGATGGCGCAAATGGACACCTCTGCCCCCCCCCCAGGTTTGACGACGTCCTAAGCGACAGCCCCATTGGGACACGGACCCGCCTTCCATCCGCGCAGCTGCGGCATGGGTTCAATCTTCTTTCCTTTAGTTTGGCTGACGTCCTTTGCGAAAGCTCCATTTGAAAAGCTGAGCTGTCCTCCGTACGCGTATTCCTTGCAGTTTTCTTAGGTGAGTGTGCGCACCATTTAGAACCACGGGGGGCGCCCTCCAAGTTTCTAACACGAATGTGCGCCGCGCTAGGCCGATGACCCGTTTTGAAAGAGCACCGCTCTCCACCCTTGCACTTTTGCAACGTTGTATGGCGAATGTGCGTGGCGCCAATGCGGACACTCCATTTTGAAAATGCGCCACCCTCCATTCTTGTAGGTGTTGGAAGCTTGTAAGAACACTGTGCGCCGCGCTAAGAGCAGGCAGCGGCGCCATCTTTAGTAGTGGTATCAGGCTTTTGTATGAATGTGCGCGGCGCTACGGCGAGGACCCTATCTGGACAACGACTCCATCCATTCTGGCACCTCTGGGGGATTGCAAGTTTCAGTGTGGCGAAGGAATCTGAGCTGTAACGCCTGGCCCGCCATACGGACACGTTGTTGCGACATGGGGGAGGTACCTGTACGGAAAAGGGGTGAACGCGGGAGGAGGAGCATGACGAGGAGGAGTAGGAGGAGGAGAACGAGAGGGATGGGGAGGAGGAGGAGGAGGAGGAGAAGGATGAGGAGAACAGAGGGAGGATGAGGAGGAGGAGGAGGCGGATGATGAGGAGGAGGAGGATGAGGAAGAATAATACCATTATTATTAATAATAAGAAGAAACGAAACAAACTAATAATATTAAGAATAATAATAATGGTAATAATAAGCATGCTGGTAATAATACTGCTAATAATCATGAAACATTAGTAAACCTAGTAATCATACTGTTATTAATGCTATCAACAACAATAATATGAAAACTAAAAACAATACTAACACTACTAACAATACTAACACTACTAATAGTACTACTAATAATAAGACGGAGATTAATAAGACGACGAATACGACTAATAATAATAATAATAATACTAATAACAATAACAATAATAAGACGACTGCGAATAATAAGAATACGGATAATAAGAATCGTACGAATAATAAGAATAACCATATTACGAATAAGACGACGAATCAGACGAATAATATTAATAATAAGAAGAATAATACTAATAGTAAGAATAATACTGTTACGAAACATAAGAAGAAGAGGAGGATGAGGAGGATGAGGAGGAGGAGGAGGAGGAGGAGAATAATACTGTTACGAATACGAATAAGAAGAAGAGGAGGATGAGGAGGAGGAGGAGGAGGGAGGAGGGAGGGGGGAGGGAGGGAGGGAGGGAGGGGGGAGGGAGAGGGGAGGGGGGGGGAGGAGGGGGGGAGTATTTTGGTTGGTTGGTTAGGGGTGGGGTGGGGTGGGTTGGGGGGGGAGGAAGGGGGGCGGGGGGAAGGAGGGATGCGGAGGTGAGGCTGATGATGAGCAGGAGAAGGGAGGGATGTGGAGTGAGAGGGGAGGAGGAGGAGGAGGAGGAGGAGGAGGAGGAGGAGGAGGAGGAGGAGGAGGAGGAGGAGGAGGAGGAGGAGGAGGAGGAGGAGGAGGAGGAGGAGGAGAGGAGGAGGAGGAGGAGGAGGAGGAGGAGGAGGAGGAGGAGGAGGAGGAGGAGAGGAGGAGGAGGAGGAGGAGGAGGAGGAGGGAGGGAGGGAGGGAGGGAGGGAGGGGGGAGGGGGGAGGAGGGAGGGAGGGAGGGAGGGAGGGAGGGAGGGGGAGGGGGGAGGGAGGGGAGGGAGGGGGAGGGGCAAGCTAGGTGCGCTCGCGTCATATCTGACATCCTACCCCTCCCTCCCATCCCTTACCATGGCGCAGATCCCCTCTCTACTCGCTCAGTCGGATGTCGAGCAGGGCAATGATCCCGAAAGGGTACGCGATGCATTGTAGAGCACGGCATGGCATGGCGTAGACGAGCACCGCAAAGTGTAGTATCAACCTCGCATTGCATTGCATGCCGTGGCATGGCACGGGAAATGACGCCAGCGCTGCAGCGGGAGCACGAGTCGAAACGAGCGGAAGCGCGGAAATGAGGCCAGCGCTGCAGCTGGAGCACGAGTCGGAACGAGCGGAAGCACGGAAATGAGGCCAGCGCTGCAGCGGGAGCACGATTCGGAACGAACGGGGCCCGAAACTGAGGCTGGTGCCTCAGCGAGAGCAGCATTTTGAAAAACATGTAGGCGACCACCCAACTCCGGGGAACCCTGTGTAAAAAACAGTACGGGGGGGGGTCGGCCACTTTCAAACTGTCATCAGGGGAAGAAGGAGAGTCGTATTCATATTGAGTAATTGTGGAGGGTAGAGGGGGGGGGAAGGAGGGGGGGAGTATTTTTTGGTTGGTTGGTTAGGGGTGGTGGGGGGGGAGGGGGCGGGGGGAAGGAGGGATGCGGAGGTGAGGCTGATGATGAGCAGGAGAAGGGATGTGGAATGATGGGGAGGAAGAAGAGGAGGCGGATGAGGATGAGGATGAGGATGAGGATCAGGATGATGATGCTGCTGCTGATGATGATGATGATGATGGTGGTGATGATGATGGTGATGATGATGCTGCTGCTGATGATGATGATGATGATAATGACGGTGACGATGGTGATGACGATAATGATGATGGTGGTGGTAGTGATGGTGCTGATGCTGATGATGCTGCTGCTGATGACGGTGATGATGATGGTGATGATGATGCTGACGATGACGATGACGATGATGATGCTGCTGCTGATGATGCTACTGCTGCTGCTGATGATGCTGATGATGATGATGACGCTGATGAGGATGATGACGACGATGATGACGATGAGGATGCTGATGCTGATGCTGATGCTGATGCTGATGCTGATGCTGATGCTGCTGATGATGATATGATGATGATGATTATGAGGATGATGCTGCTGATGATGATGCTGATGATGATGCTGATGCTGATGCTGATGATTATGATGATGATGATGGATGATGATGATGCTGATGATGCTGATGATGATGTTGATGATGATGATGATGCTGATGATGATGATGATGATGATGATGATGATGAGGAGGAGGAGGAGGAGGAGGAGGAGGAGGAGGAGGAGGAGTAGGAGGAGGAGGAGGTGTGGGGACAACGATGATAAATGATAAGTATGAGGATGGGTGGGTGCGGAAGAGGATCAAAGTGGAAATGAAAGAGGCGGAAAAAGATGATGAGGAGGATGAGGAGAAAGAGGGGGCGGATGAGGCGAGCGTTTCAGAAGACTCAACTGAGTGAATTCGGTCGGTTTGCTCCGTGTCGACGCGGCGGCGACCCTTGCGCGGGCCTTCAAAAGGTTGAACGCCGCCAGTGGTTCGGAATCCGCCGACATCGTGCGATCCGCGCTGTTGAAAGGCCGTGATCGTTCGAGCTTGAACAATCCATGCGGTGTCGGAGACCACAGCGTCAGTCGTCACGACACGAACTGGCCGTGTTCGAAATGTCTCAGGGTTGCAGTGCTCTTGTCCAGGCAGGATGACGGCAGGCGGCCCAGATGATCGACCCGGGGACGAGAACTCATTCCTGGCTAACAAGGACAGGCTGCTTGCGACCGGGTCACGCGACCTGCTGCTGGCCCCCCATCCGCGTCTTCCTCCCCTCTCCCTCTCCCACTCCAATACCCACGTATACTCGACTTACACGCACATTCTTCCATGAGGTGTTCTTCTTACATTCAAGACGCTGAAATTAGGACCACTTTAGGTTCGGAAGGGGCTCGCTGTTCCTTGGGTCATTCTGTGGTTGTTCCTCCAGCCCTCCTCGTGCACCCAAGCGCTTCCGGTGCCCAAAAGGGGCTTTGTTCCTCATTTAGCGTTCCTTATGCCAGCAGCTTGACTGCATTACCAGCACGGACTGCGCCCCGCTCTCTCGCAGTCAGGGCCGGGAGGCGTGCGTGGGCAAGCAGGGGGGCGACTCTTTGGGGGGGAGCCCCGTAGAGACACCTGGGGCCGCCAGAGCGCCAGCAGGCGGGGGAACGAGCGGCGACGCGGGCGGGCGGCTGGTGGGGTCCGCGACTTCCGGCGGCGTGAAGAAACCACAGCGCGGTGAAACGCTCGCGGGTGGAGCTCCCGACCCCCTATCGACGAACAAAAAACGGCATAAGCATAATTTCCTGGAGGGCCACGCGGATTTCTTGGATCGGCGCTGTGCCCCCCCCCCCCGGCGGCGCCTCCGGCGCCGCCCCTGGCGCACTGCGCGCGCCAAGGAGGGGGGCCCAACGCAGATCCAAGAAGTCCGCGCGGACCTCCGAGAACTTATGGTTATGCTCGTTTCTGTTACTCCACCATAGTCGCGCGTGATTTCTGAGTGTCCTGGGGCTCGAAGCGGACCAAAAACGCTTATGGTTATGCCCTTTTCGTTACTCTACCATAGTCGCGCGTGATTTCTGAGTGTCCTGGGGCTCGAAGCGGATCCAAAACGCCCGTCCGTCGTTTTTTTACCGCCACGCCTGGACGTCAGGGGTTTTGGGCGGGCGGGCTGTCGCGCGGGCGGATGCGATGGGCCAGCTTGGGGAACCAGCCCTGTCTTCGGCGACTACAAAGGGTGTGGTTACGCCGTGGCGTGGTTTCCGATCGGCGCCTTTGGGGCCTGGGGGGCGCGACGTTGAGCCAGAGACCGCGCCGCGCAGTGAGGAATCCACTCGGGGGTCCCAGGGGTGAAGGGGAGGAGGATGCAGGGGACTTGCAGTTTCTCACGGATCTTCTTTCCGACTCGCCGAAAGGAGTGGGAGTATCCCGCGGACCAGCGGTCAGGGTGGCTGCCAGCGGGCGCCCAGGAGTTGGTCGACACGCATCCTTGGACCAGGCGGGCGGTGGAGAAGAACCCACGATTCCCCGGCTACGTCCCGCCCGAAGCGCTTTTCTGTTGGTCGGAGCCAGATTTTGCAAGCTACATCAACAGTGGAGGCTTTGTGAAGCCCAAACTGCAGTGCCACTACTACATCTCACCCGAGAACCCCCAGAGCATCGTGGACGTGCTTGAGCCAGTGTTGAGTAGCATGAGGTGGGTGTGCACTGTGGACAGCGACGTTGGCCGCGAGGAAAACGTGCACAAGACGACAGATTACATGGGGATGCCCGTGCCGCGGACGAAGAAGCAGGAAGACGGTACGTACAACACGATTGCTCCAAATCGTAAGACCGCTCCCATATTCATTTGGGAGGCATGTAGAAGCATGGTGGACCCCAAACCAACCTTGAAATACCATGGGCTCGTGAACAAGATTCAAGGCATCACGATGTTTACCAAGGTCGGTATGCTCGATCTTGTCAGAGAGAGGTGCATCGAGCGGGATATTCCCATCAACTTCCCTCCAGCGTGGTACCCGCTGGCGTTTACGCTGCCGGACGACCTGGAGCAGTGGAAGAGACACGCCGAGGCGAACCCCCACAAGAAATGGATATACAAGCCGAACGGAGAGGCGATGGGCCGCGGCATCATCCTTGTAGGCCAGATCAGCGATGTGGATTCCAAAGACCGGCCTTTCCGCACCCGTTGCAAAAATGTTGAGGTGTTCGATCCAAACGAGCCTCCGCTCAGTGAGAGGCACTTCGCCAGCTACGGTGTTATTCAGGAGTACATGCTCAACCCGATGCTGCTGGATAGCCGCAAATTCGCCGTTCGGCTTTACCTCCTGGTTGCTCGCGTGAAGCCGTACTTATGTTTCCATTACAATTATGGTTACGTCAAGCGGTGTAGCGAGTATTACGACGAAAACAAATATGGTAGAGAGGATTTGTTCCGCCACATCACCAACCAGGAGTTCCAGAAGAAACAGGACACTTTCTCGGACACCAAGGCGGCCGACTTGTTGTCGATCGAGGCCTTGGATGCTTACGTAGCAGAGCACTACGGCATTCCAGCCTTCCGGCTGAACTTCTGGCAGCAGGTGAAGGTCATCTTCATGGAGATATGCCTTGGAATGAAAGAGCAGGTTAGTGAGAACAACAAGCTCGGCAATTTCGAGGTCTTCGGCGTCGACGTCATCGTCGACGCGGAGCAGAGGGTGCACCTTATAGAGGCGAACCGAGATCCCTCTTGGGTCATGGACACAGAAGTGAAGAAGGCCATTATTCCGAGCATGGTCGGCAGTTGTATGCTCTGTGTCGAACGAGCGGGCCTCGAGGGCAATAATCATCAGTGCATCCGCAGCTCGAGCGATCTCGAGCGCCGATGTGGACGATTGCGAACGGCTGCGACCGAGCGAGGCGAGTTCCCCTCAGCAATTGTTGAGCAAGTGCCGGTGACGCTGAGGTCCGCGAGATGCTCGATCTCGTGTTCTGGGCGCACAGCGAGGATGGGAAGGGGAAGGAGGCGATACTGTCGGCGCCGATGCAGGCCAGGGGGCCCAGCCTTCCTCCTCTTCCTCCTTCTCATTCTCCTTCTCATTCTCCTACTCACCCTCCTCTTCTTCTCCTCGTCCTCCTCCCTCCTCCCTCCTCCTCCCTCCTCCTCCTCCTCCTCCTCCTCCTCCTCGCCCCTCCCTCCTTCATCCTGCAGGGCTTCGAGGTGCTCGTCGACGATGCCTTCGACTTCCAGGCGGTCGACCTCGACTGAGCGGCCCGAGCGGGGAGAGCCGCTCCGTCCCGTCCCTCCCCCTCCAACCCGCTCCTCCCGCCCTCCTGCTCCTCCTACCGGGAGAGCCCGGGCGTCGCATTTTTTCGCAGCAGCCGATGATCCTCAGGACATCTTTTTTTGATCGCGAGCGACACAGAGCAGCTGCGCGTCGTTTCTTAACGGCGCGCAGTTGCTCTGTGTCGCTCGCGAGCAGAAACAGATCCTCAGGACGTGCGTTAGCCCAAGGTGTGCTTGCCCCTTCAGCCCAACCAGCAGATCACTACACCGCCTGCGTCGTATCGAAGAGCTTGGATGGACAAGCACACGTTGGGGCTAACACATGTTCTGAGGATATCATCGCAACAGGTGCTTTGGGCTGCATTGGACAGGCTCTCACATATCGGCCCGGTTCGAGAAATGCCGCTGAAAGGTGGAGTCTAGGACGGCGATGATATAGTTTCACTCACGACGTCGGATCTCAAGGATCTCCACGAGGAGGAGGAGGACCAGTGTAGACCCCAAAAGCACCAACGATGTTGCAATAAACCCTCCCTTCAAGTTCCCTTTTCATAGACCACTACAAGAATTTATTCGCACTGTGGGAAGCGACCCATTGGAAGACAACCGTTCGAGAATCCTCAATCGTGCCAAAATACCATTCCTGAGACTTCAGCGCCGCGAATCAACGTGGCTATTGCGTGCCAGGACACCATTCTTGGGACTTCAACGCAGCGAATCAACGCGTAGCGTAGTGCCAGAACATCATTCTTGGTATCTCAAGCATAAGAATGCTTGACCATGCTTCAAGCTTTCAAGACGAATGTGCGCAGCTCTAAGGCGAGAGTCACATTTTGAAATGGAGCCGCCCTCCATCCGTGAAACCGTTGCAAACTGTTTGAAACGAATATGCGCGGCGCTAATGCGGAAACCATATTCTAATAAAGACCCGCCCTCCATCCGTGAAGCTGTAGCAAGCGTTTCAGACGAATGTGCGTGACGCTGAGCCACATTTTGACAATGGCCCACCCTCCATCCGTGAAACCGTTTCTATTTTCAAGCTTCAGGATCATAAGTGGGCAGGAAGTCCCAGGCGAAACGTCCGGCCCGCCGTACCAACACGTCTGGGGGTGCGACAGGGAGGAGTTGCTTATATGGGAAAGGACGGAGGAGGAGGATGAGGAGGAGGAGGAGGAGGAGGAGGAGGAGGAGGAGGAGGAGGAAAGAGGAGGAGGAGGAGGAGCGACGACGAGGAGGAGGAGGAGGGAGGAGGAGGAGGAGGAGGAGGAGGAGGAGGAGGAGGAGAGGAGGAGGAGGAGGAGGAGGAGGAGGAGGAGGGAGGAGGAGGAGGAGGAGGAGGAGGAGGAGGATGAGCCCGTCCCTCCTCTCTTCGTCCCCTTCCCCCCTTCCTTCACGAGGCTCCTCGTCGCTCCTCCTCCTCCTCCTCCTCCTCCTCCTCCTCCTCCTCGCCCCTCCTCCTCTTCCTCCTCCTCCTCCTCGCCCCTCCCTCCCCTGCAGGCCAAGGCTGTCGCCCGCACGGTCCGGCCGCTATAAGAGGTGGACGTTGCCAGGAGGTGCCCCCGTCGGTGCCCGCTGTCGGACAAAAAAGCGGAGTGAGGAGCGGCCCCCTTCGGAGGAGGCGAGGAGCGAAGAGCGAGCGAGGAGGAGCGACGAGAGCGAGGGGGGCCGAGAGGGGCGAGGGGAGCGGCCCCCATCGGAGGAGGCGACGAGCGGAGGAGGAGCGAGGGGGAGCGACGAGCGACGTAGGCGAGGAGGCGAAGAGCGAGGAGGAGCGAGGAGGATCGAGGAGGAGCGAGGAGGAGCGAGGAGGTGCGAGGAGAGGCCGCCGTCGGCGGGAGGAGCGGCACCGCCATCACCAGCGGGCCACCTCTGGCGAGGGTGTCTCCTGGTGCCTCCCCGAGGCTGAGGGGCGGAGGCGCCTCGAGAGCGGGGCGCGGCAGCACGGGGAGGGGCCGCACCAGCAGGGCCCCGTCTGGCCCTTGCCCTGTCGACTAGACGTACGAGTGACCCTTTCGCCAGCTTGGCTGCTTCGACACGCCCGTTTTGAAACGCAGCACGTGCCGTGCTCAGAACGTCCGTGTCAACTCGCCGTGTGTTGGTTCGGCACGTGTTGCCCCACGTCTTGGCGAATGTACCGCGTCATACCTGCGTTGTCAGTCTTCGCGTTGAGCTTCGTGTCAACACGCTACGGGTTGCGTGTTGCGTATCGGGGCTGCTAAGTGAGCCGGAGCGACCTTTGGTGCGGGCCCAATGGGGCCCCCCGATCGTTGAGCGTGAAGCGGTGGCAGCGGCTTGCGCGCCCAGGTTCTGGCACGCCGCGTCCCCCGTGAAGCCGTGCACCAAAGGTCACTTTTGCCTAGGGTCGCTCTTCCTCCTCCTCCCTCCTCCCTCCTCCCTCCTCCTCCTCCACCTCCTCCTCCTCCTCCTCCTCCTCCTCCTTCTCCTCCTCCTCCGTCTCCTCCTCCTCCTCGCCCCTCCTCCTCCTCCTCCTCCTCCTCCTCCTCCTCCTCCTCCTCCTCTTACGTGTAGCCGACCATGGCAGTGTTGCCGTCGTTTTTTTGGTTGTCGGGTCAGACGAAAGGGGGGGTCAGGCTCTGGTTTCCCCACGCCAGCGCGGCAGTAAGCCCAGGAAAGGTCGCATGCCCGACGTGGTCCGCAAGATCAGCGAACACATGCGGCCATGGCTCTGCAACGGCAGGGTGCCCACGCGACGGAACGCCTCTCGGAGGGAAGGATTCGGATAGGGCGGGTGTTCAATTTGGTGCACGCAGCCGGTCCTGGCCCCACCGTCGGGTGCTTTCCTCGATGCATTGGCGCATCTTCACTCACCAAACCACCCCAACCCAACCCGAAGGCCCAAACTGACCCTCGACTTCCAGTGGGGGGGTGTCGGGGAACATCGAAAAACACATGTGGAACCCGTACCCCCCCCTACCCGAAATTTGGGCCTTCGGTTAGGTTGGGGTGGTCTGGTAGGTAGTCACATCTGGGGCCAGGAGGCGCCAGGGAACGCAGCTTTTGTACCCAACCCCCCTGTTGGTCCGACTCGACTCGGCCCTCGGGGAGGACTTTTGGGGGCGAGAGCTCCGCGGACCCACGTCGTGGAAGATGGACGGTGTCGGAAGTCCGAGGGGATCGGGGGTCCCCAGGGTGCCCTGGCTCTTGCTCGGCGCTGTGGCTGCTCGCCCGAGCGAAGCCGCGCAAGCATCGTACAGCAGGCGCGCTCGGCGTGATCTTGCGCTGAGGCCCCGCCGCTGTCGTCGTCGTCGTCGTCGTCGTCGTCGTCGTCGTCGTCGTCGTCGTCGTCGTCGTCGTCGTCGTCGAGGTCTTCAACGTCGAGGAGGTCGTCGCTGTCGTCGTCATCTTCGAGGAGATGATCGTCGTTGTTGTCGTCGTTGTCGATGCCGTAGTGGTGCCGAGGCCCGCGGCGGCTTCACGGAGCTCGAGAAGAGCAGCGTCCCGACCTGGGCCTTCCCAGTGCTGGCAGGCGGGAGCGGGAAGGGCAGCGGGCAGGGCGGGGGATTGGAGACGGCCCGCTCGATCGATTGATCGATCGACCTCGATCGATCTCGATCCGATCCGGCCCGATCCGACCTGGCTCGATCCGACCCAGCTCGATCCGACCTGCGCACGTGCACCTCGATCGATCTCGATCCGACCTGGCTCGATCCGATTCGATTCCGACGCCGATGCACGGGGCCGTCAAGAAGAGGCCTTGGCGAGGAGGACATGGTGTACTGAGGCACCGCGGTGCCTACCGCCCAAGCCCCGCGCCAGGCCGGGCTCCTGCCCGACAGACGATGCCTGCCTGCCTGCTCCGACGATCCGATGCGGTAGCAAGCCATGGGAGCCTCGTGTGCCCCTGCAATTCCGTCTTTGCAGAGCATTCGCGTGCGCTAGCGTCTGATCGATGAGGGAGCGCCGATGGAGCGTCGGTTACTGCCGAAATCAGCGCCGCTACTATAGCGTCGATCCGTGTCGACTGGCTTCGATTCGCAAGAACCAAGTGGATGGTACTGGGGGCTCCCCAGAGTTGCCGCTGAAGATCCGACCTGGCTCGATCTGATTCGATCCCGACGCCCCGGCGATCCAGTGCGGCCAGGCGCCTGCGCGGCGTCGCTGTGCATCCGTGCGCGGCCAGCCCGAGCCGACTTCGGTTCCGTGCCCATGCAGACTGGCAGCCCGGCTCAGTGCGCGCTCCGACCTCGGTCCAATTCCACCCGGCTTCCCGGCTTGATGCCGCCCGCTCCCGGGGGAGGACGTCCGAGGCGGGAATGTGTGCATGACCACCGCCTGGAGGATCAATTTTCGGGGACCTCGGTAGGCTGTGGATATGGACGTCTTCTGGCCCCCCCGGGGGCCCAAAGACATCCACATCCACCGCCCGCTGGGGCACCAGGACGTCGGTTCCCAGGCGGTGGATATGGACACATCCCCGCCTGGCAGGTCGGGCGGCCGCCCGCGCCCAGACCTCCTGCACGATGATTTCGTGGTGTGGGCCCCCCCTGAGCTCTCGACCCCCAGTGACAGACAAGTTCGTGTGGAAAGTGGGGGGACCACGGCTGGAGCTGGGCAAAGCAACAATGCCCGCGTGCCGTTCGTGTCTGTGGAGACAGAGGGGTACATCAAATACAAGACGAAGTTCGGTTTCATGCATGCATGAGTGCTTTCTTTGCCGCCGACGCGCCCCAGGGCGTATTGCCTTTGCCTCTTTGCCCCCCCGGGGAAAACTCCTATTCGGCCAGGCCGATGGCCCCGAAGGCTCAGATCCTGGACAGGCCAGATCCTGGACAGGCTGGCCACCTCGGACTCTTCATGACGAGGGAGCCGGGAGGCCTGGGCCGCCCTCTCCCAAATAGGGGCCCAGAGCCTCTCCTGGGGCTCCTCCAGCCGTGGCCACCAGGACGTCTCAGGATGCCCAAAAAGGTTTGTTAACGCCCAAACATCTCGATCTTCGATCCTCGAACTTCTATCCCGGCTCGATCCTCGAACCTCGAATCTTCGATCCCCGAACCTTGATCCCACAAGCGTCCAGAAATCTTGATCCCCGAACCTTGTTCCCATAACCTCGAACCTCGATCCAAAAATCTCGATCCTCGACCCCGGCTCGATCTTTGAACCTCGAACCTTGATCCCGCGAGCGGCCAAAAATCTCGATCCTTGAACCTCGGTCCCCGAACCTCGAACCTCGATCCTCGACCCTCGATCAAAAAATCTGGATCCTCGATCCTCGAACCTCGATCCCAGGAGGTCGGGCTCGCTTGTGTTGCGCGCGCACGACGAGGAGCTATTCGTGTGCTGCCGCCGCCGCGCTAGCCCTTGCCGCGGGCCGCTCTCCAACATCCTTTCGGGCGACGCTCCCTCCTTCCTCCCCACCTCTTGCCTTCCTCCCTCTTGCCCCCCGGCGTCTCCTCCCTCGTCCTCCTCCTCTCCTCGTCCATCCCCCCCCCCCGCAGTCCTCCTCATTCTTTCTGCTCATTCCTCCTTCCCATCCTCTTCTTCACTCATCCACCTCATTCCTCCCTCCCCTCGTCCTCGTTCTCCTCATCCTGCTCCTCCTCCTCCTCCTCCTCCTCCTCCTCCCGCGGGGGGGGGACTGGGCTGCCACGCTGCATGGTGGCCCAAGGGCCCCGAAATGGCCAGCGCGCGCCCTTGCAGGTCATGGCCCCTCCGAGAGATCGATGGCGATCGATTTTGGTGATGGTCGAGTGCTTGATTTCGATAGCGATCCTGTTCTCGATGTTCCTTGTGTTGCGGATCGGTTGAACTCGGCATTGCTTACGCGATTGTCGAGACGATCTTTTTCACCCTCTGCGCCTCCTCCTCCCCCCCTCCTCCCTCGTCGTCGTCGTCGTCCTCCTCCTCCTCCTCCTCCTCCTCCTCCTTCTCCCCACTTGTGACGCACCGAAAATCCTGCCCCCTCCTCTGGGCTCGACGCCCCGTCTCCTCCTCGTTTCAGTTCCCCCCCCCTCGGGTGACGCCAACGGTGCACCGGCGCCGACCCCCGGCCAGGACACAAACCCTGGACCAGAGTCCACCCGGTCTCCCCAGCCACGACACGAGGGCGTACGCGCCGGCCCCAGGCCCTGGACGGACCTGGCCGGAAGTCCATCCGGGGGGGTCTGAGAGGGGGATGAGGATTCGGGGGGCGGTGATCTGATGCTTGGGGCCATGCAGTCTCCCAAGTTTCATGGCGCCCTCTTCTTCTTTCAATCTGTCCGCGGGCCCCGTTCTCGTCCGCGCATGCTTCGGGCCATGATGCGCACCCCCTCTCCTCCTCGTCCCCCCCTCTTCGGCGCACCGACCCCCCCCCCCTTCCAGGCACGTCACGAGCATTCGGGACTTGGTCGAACGCCTCGAAAGACTCTGGCGCATCGCGCACACAGGTCGGTGCCCCCGTGCCCGCCGCACCTCAGGGGCCCCGAGTGCCTGGGGCCGCTCCTCACCACCCGGGCCGTGGAGCTTGTTCGCGGCCGCGAGGCTCGCCACTCGCCGTGGCCCGGCCGCGGAGCCTCGGCGTGGCCGCGAGGCTCGCCGCGGCGTGGCCGTGGAGCCTCGTCGTCGGCGTCGTCGGCTTCCGCTGTTGCGGTCGTCGCTGTGCGTCGTCGTTCTCGTGTCGGCGCTGTCGCCGCTGTCGTCGTCGACGTCGCTCTCGTTGTCGGCGTCCTCGCCGCGGCCGCCCCGCTCCTCCCCCTCCCCGGGGGGGTGGGCCCAGGCCTGCTGGTCACCGCCGTGTCCGGGGAAGGCCTCCAGGAGGTTCTCTACAAGGGGTTCGAGAATGTGAACCTCGTGCTGGCCAAGGCCGCGTGGGTGGGGGAGGATCGGACGGGGCTAGGACGAGGACGAATCCGTTCCAGAGCGCTCCGGAACGCTCTCAGAGCGTTCCGGAAGGCTCTGAGAAGGCCGCGGCGCCCGAGACATCCTCCAGAGCCGCCGGATCTCAGAGATTCCCGATTTACCCTCGCCCGATTGTATCCTCGTCCTGGTTTCGTCTCGCGTGTGGTTCGGGGAGGAGCGATGGTTCTCCTCCTGCTCCTGCTCCTCCCTCCCGCTCTGCCTCCCTCTCGCAGCCCTCGAAGCGTCGGGCACTAGTGCCGTCGAAGCGGCGTTGCCCCACTCCCTCTTCTGGCCCTCTTCCTGCTCCTCCAGCGCATCCCCTCCCTCCTCCTCCTGCTCCTCCTCCTCCTCCTCCTCCTACTGCTCCTCCTCCTCCTCCTCCTGCTCTCCTTCGGCCTCTTCCTCTGGATCCCCTTCGTCGCTCTCTTTTCGCCTTGTCTTACCAACCTGATTCGCCTTCTGATGGTCAGGCTGATTCGCTTTTCATGGGCATTCGAAGGCATTCTTTCTCCTCGCGCGCCACTGGCGAAATTTTCAAGACGTTGTGAGCGCATCTCCTCCTGCTCCCCTTCCCCCCGCCCTCCTCCACCTCCCTCCTCCCCCACCTCCTCCTTCTCCTCAGTCCCTCATCGTTAGAGAGATCCCCTGCCGCACCACCTGGGCTGAGTGTTTTACTTGAGACATTGTAACAAATTGCCATCCTGAAGCTAGATCGCTCAATCAGCCCTTGCCTTAGCGCTGCGCATATTTGTTTGTAATGTTCAAACCTTCACAAGGATGGAGGCGCGGACGTTTTCAATATGCAGCACTCGCATTAGCACTGCGCACATTATTTTTGAACGTTTCTGATGACGGCGGCTGGCACATGATCAACATATCGCTCTCGCTTGAGACTTGGAAAGAGCCGACGTTCTACACCGTTCGACAGCCACACAGATGGAGAATCGCTCCTTGTCAACACTTGTCTCTTGCTCGGGAGTGCATGCAACAGCTACACGGATGGAGGGTGGCTCGTTTTCAACATGGGTTTTTTGCTTAAGATTTCGGCCAATGTTCTGACCAGAATTTCGAAATTGTGCACTGCCTCCACGGATGGAGGAAGGCAGGTCCTTGTCAAAACGGGGCTATCGCTGGACATCTCTGTGAATATTAGCATCCTACCTCCTCGCGCCTCTTCACGATGCGAGGGCTCGCCTGAGTGGCAGGCCTGCCCTGCGCTCGTCGTCCAGTGGAGACGCCTCCCGCAATGGAAGGGAACACTTGTCGGGACTCGCGAGGAGGGGACTTGGGATGGGAGGGTGTTTTGCAGTGTCGTTGGTGCATCCTGGGCTTGCTCTGGTCCTCCTCCCTCTTCCTCCTTCTCGTCCTTGTCCACCTCCTCCTCCTCCTCCTCCTCCTCCTCCTCCTGTCTCTCCTCCTCTCCCCTTGCCCCCCTCAGTCCTCTCCCATCCTCCTTCAAATTCTCTTCCATCATCCATCATCGTCCTGTTCCTCCTCCGTATCTTTCCTGCAGTCTCCGCCCTGCCGTCTCCGCCCTGCCGCCTCCGCCCTGCCGTCTCTGTCGCCGTGCCGTGCCGCCATCGTGCCGCGTCGTCGGAGCGCCTGGCTCAGCTGGGCGTCACGGCTGTCTCCGTGGACCAGGGGCCAGTGGCCGCCAGCGTGACCGCGTGAAGAGCTGTGAGGGACCGTGCTCTCTGTGGTTTGCTCGATTCGTCGTGCGGCCACGGAGCGTCGCCCGCGCCGGCACGTAATGCCGACCGCCGCTTTCGACTCGGCGGCAAGCGTGGGTTAGTCCATAGTCCAGTTGCGAACGAAGTCTCAACACTACTGACACATCTGCGCAGCTGACGTTTCGGATCAAATGACAAATAGCACCCATCGTCGTCGCACTGCCTCGCCGCGTCGCGTCGCTTTTTGGTTTTCCGTCCCCTCACGCGGCTTCCAGCCGGTCAGCCTTCCCATCCTCGTGGAACAGGTATACATTTGTTGGTCGAAGATTTGCAACAGATGCGAGACGTGCCAGCCTGTACGCTGGAGTAGGAATGTCACAACCAATCGGCTACATGAACACCAGAGTTGCATGTGTCAGCCATCACGTCGTAATTATCAATGTCGTCGTAAGCGGGGTCACGTTATCGGAGGTACCCGCGACATTGCATATCTTCGGCCACTCCCATGATTTCAGTCCGCACAGCAGACGCAGCAGCAAGCTAATCTCACCTCCATTTCTCCTCCCCTTTTTCCCTCCTTCCTCTATGGACCTGCCCTTCTTCCTCTATCCTCCTCCTCCTCCTCCCTCCCCCTCCTCCCTTCTACTCCCTCCTCCTCCGTACTCCCCCCGCTGCCCTCTGCTTTCCTCCTCCTTCATGTCTCCTATTCCTACTCCCTCCCGCCTTGCATACTTGGGATGGCCCAGAGGCCCTCCTGGAGCTTCTTTTGGCTTGCACCTGCCTCCATGCCTGCCGCCCTCCTTGGGTGAGGTGGATGGCGTCATGGTCTAGGTCGGTGGGGCGCCAACTAGTCAAAGTATGTAGTGAGGGTGCAAAGCCTTACCAACGCAGCCCTTGTATTCCTGCCTCGCTGGCCCGTCTTTAGCCACAGATCCTGGAGCAGCTGTTGGCGGGATGCCTCTGCACTTGCCTTCGTGTGGGCCCCCAAGACTTTTGCATCGCAATCTTGATTTATTATTGCGTGGTTTTGAGGGTACCCGCACGCACCGATCCCCGCGCCAGCTGACCTTGGTGTCGTGAAGGCCTTACGGCCGGTGCCGCCGACCCTGAAGGAGGACGACGCTGACGTCCGGCGCCCTCCTGGGGATCACTTCCGCGCGCGCGCGCCTGCACGCCTCCATGCCTGCCGCCCTCCCCGGGAGGAGGCGGCGGGTGGGCCTGCTTCGGCGCGAGAATCGGCACGATCGAAGTGGGTACGGAAAGAGTGAGTACGGTCGGGCCGAGGTGTAAGATCGAGGTCTGTTCGGGGAGGGTGCCCCAGTGCTCTTCGTGCTTGCTGGATGCTCTTGTGCATCCTGGGGAAGGTCGGTTCGGGGAGGGTACCCTATTCGTGCTTGTTGGATGTTCTCGTGCATCCTGGGGGAGGGTACGCCCTCAATTTTTCTTCGGTTTGGCCGGCGGAGGGTCTCAGGTTCTTGCAGGATGCTCTTCTGTCCTGGGTTTGGCCGTACTTCGGCGCGAGAGTCGGTACGATGGAAATGGGTACCGTTACGGCAAGAACGGGTGCGAAGACCGACAGCAGTTTTTGCTCCATTTTGGACAGGCTTCGCTTCGGTGTCGGCGTGGGCGTGGTCCATCTGAGACAGAAGGCCTCCCGCCCAGCAGCGGCCGTTGTCGGTTTTGAACAACAGTCGTTGTTGGGTATCGCGCTCATTTCTGCCGTGCCCGTTTCTCGGCCACGCGCCCAGGGGGGTAGGGCGAGGGGGGAAGGCTTCTCATGAGCGCCTCTGCTTCTCAGACGGTGTGGGCCCTCTATAGATGCAGGGCCGGCGCCCTCTAAGCAGAAGCAGCCTCCTTCTTGGAAGCCTTCCTCCTTCCCCCCACCCCCTTGTGTTACGCGGGGCCTGTCCCTCTACAGGAGGACAGGCCTCGCTTTACACTTGGGACCCATCATTTCGGCCTGGCCGCCTCTGCGCGCCGCCACATCTCGGGCGTCCAAGGAGAGAGCGCCGAGGCGGTCGGCTTTGGAGCAGCCTCGGCCTCCCAGGGTCGTCTCAAACGGCACCGGGGCCGTCGAGGAGAGCGATCCGCGGCGAGGCACCGGGCTTGGGGAGAGGGGGTCGAAGGGGCTCTCTGGGGCTCAGAATTCGCGACGCTTTGCGCATACCCACCAGCCCATTCAGCAACGATGCCCGGGCGAAGTGCCTTGATTGGGGAAGCGAGGGAGCGTGCAGTGGACCGAGGAACTGTGAAAGCCGTCACACCGAAGTTCGAGATCAGCGTGAGCAGGCCCAGGAGAGAACCGCATGTTGATTGTAGGACCTGTCGAACGAGGAGGGGTGGAGGCAAAGGATGAGGAGGCAGGAGGACTACTAGGAGGAGGAGGAGGAGGAGGAAGAGGAGGAGGAAGAGGAGGAGGAGGAGGAGGGTGGAGGAGGAGGAGGAGGAGGAAAAGGAGGAGTAAGGATGATGGAGGTGTGGGATGATCAGGAGGATGAGGAATGCATGCGTAATGATGATGATGATGATGATGATGATGATGATGATGATGATGATGATGATGATGATGATGATGATGATGATGATGATGATGATGATGATGAGGATGAGGATGAGGATGATGATGATGATGATGATGATGATGATGACGAGTTTGCTTGAACACGTTCTCACTAAACTTTTGGTTAACCATGGTTGGGATGAGGAGGAGGAGGAGGAAGAGGAGGAGGAAGAGGAGGATGACGATGAGAAAACATAGGAAGAGGTGGAGGAGGAGGGTGTAGGAGGAGGAGGAGGAGGAGGAGGAGGAAAAGGAGGAGTAAGGATGATGGAGGTGTGGGATGATCAGGACGATGAGGAATGCATGCGTAATGATGATGATGATGCTGACGATGCTGATGATGATGCTGATGATGAGGATGCTGCTGCTGCTACTGATGATGATAATGATGATGATGATGATGATGATGATGATGATGATGATGCTGATGATGATGATGCTGATGATGATGATGATGATGATGATGATGATGATGATGATGATGATGATGATGATGATGATGATGATGATGATGATGATGATGATGATGATGCTGATGACGAGCTTGCTTGAGCACGTTCTCACTCAACTTTTGGTTAACCCTGGTTGGGAGGAGCAGGCGGAGGAGAAAGAGGAGGAGGAGGAAGAGAAGGAGGAGGAGGAGGATAATGAGGAGGAGGAGGAGGAGGAGGAGGAGGAGAGGAGGAGGAGGAGGGGAGGATGAGAAAAGTAGGAAGAGGGGATGAGGAGGAGGAGGAGGAGGAGGAGAGGAGGAGGAGGAGGGAGGAGGAGGAGGAGGAGGAGGAGGAGGAGGAGGAGGAGGAGGAGGAGGAGGAGGAGGATGCGAATTGTGGGGGACACGGCCATGGTGACGATGACGAAGATTCAAACATAATGCATTTGAGTACCTTTGCTCTGGGAGCGTCTTGAAGGCCTCTTGGAAGCATCTCGGGTCCTCTCGGGGCCATTTTGGGAGCTTCTGGGGCCTTGTTCGGGCGTCTTGGGGCCCTCTTGGAGGCACCAGGGGGCCTCTCGGGGCCATCTTGGAAGACCTCGATTAAAAACAGGCCTTAATTACGGCTGCCCCTCTTGAGCCCCAGAAGTCGTCTCTTGGAGCTCTCTTGGGGCGTTCTTGGGGCCATCTTGAGGCCATCTTGGGCCTCTCTTGGGGCCCTCCTGGGCCGTCTTGGAACTATCTTGAGGCCCTTGAGGCCTTAACCGCCCACCAGAAACGAACAGGCGAGAAGGCAACACTCATTGGCCCCCCTCGGGTTTTGGATGGATTTTGGGCATTTTGGGGGCCTCCCTGGGGAGCTCTGTGTCCACTTGGAGCCGTCTTGAAGCGGTCTTGGGGCATTGGGTGACATCTTGAGCTGTTTTGAGATATCTCGAGCCATATTGGAGGCCATCTTGAGCTCTCTGAGGCTATCTTGGAGCCATGTTGACTCAAAAGCCTCCCAAGGATGCCCCCTAGATGCCAACATCTGCGAACCGCCATGTGTTTTCCAACATGATTCTCGCTTTGAGCGAAGGGGAGGTCCTTGATCACCCTTGCCCCCCTTGCGCCCCATCGCCTTTTGGGGCCCTCTCAAGGCGCTTTTGGGGCAGTGTTCGGCGATTCTGGGGCCGTTTTGGAGCCATCTTGGGCCCTCTGGGGGCCCTCTTGGGCTGTCTCGGAGCCACCTTGAGGCCGCAAGAGCGCATCCGAAGCGAAACCCCGGGATGGCAACAACCACGGAGTTTCCTGAGGTTTTCGATTTTGCCCTCTTGGGGGCATCCTTGGAGGTCTCCGTGGCCACCTGGAGCTGTTGGAAGCCATCTTGAGCAATCTTGCGCCATCTTGAGCCATCTTGGCGGTCATCTTGAGCTCCCTGGGGCTCACTTGGAGCCATCGCGGGCCGTCTTGGACGCTCGAACTACCCGCCGCCCACTCGTCCAGTCGCAGGGGCAGGGGGTAGGGTGAGGGGTACCCCCCTCCCCGAAGAGGAAGGTGGTTGGAAGAGGAAGCGCGCTAAACCACCTACGCCCTAAAGGGCGGGTGGGGCTATCCATGATGGCGTGGAGAGGTTGTCCACATCGCCTCAGAGGGCGTCATGAGTTGTCCCAGTCAGCAGGCACAGGCCCCCAACACGCCTCCAGATGGTGCCAATGTGGCCGCGGCTCTAACATGGCTCCGTGCAGGGTGGAGGGGAGGTTGACGGCGACATGATCCAGGGGAGCATCTCGGAGGACTTGATCGAGTCGAAAGGGATCATCCCAGACTTGAAGTCGCCGACCGTCGCAGAACTGCAACCTGGGCACCGCACCGAGGAAGGAGGAGGAGGAGGAGGAGGAGAGGGAGGAGGAGGAGGAGGGGGAAGGAGGAGGGGGCTGCTGCTGCTGTTGTTACAGCTGCTGCTGCTGCTGATGATGCTGCTGCTGATGATGATCAGGATGCTGCTGCTGATGATGATGATGATGAT